GTAAATGTTGCGGGTGGCGGCGGCGGCGGCGGAGCTGGTGCAGTTGGTGCTGGTGGCACTGCTGGTGGCGCTGCTGGTGGTTTCGCCACGGCCACGGCCGCGTGTGGCTGTGAGGGCTTCCTTGTCGGACTGCTGGCATCGCTCGACCGACAATTGGCGCAGGTGAATTTTTGTGAACTTTGATGGCGCAGCAGACGCACTGCATCATCGGGATCCTCGAGTAGTGTGGCGCGATGCACCAGCCGCTCAGTCGTATCCCAAATGACGTCGCTCAGCGGATCCTTCGAATCGATGCGCAGCAGATGTTGCAATATATTGAGAAATGGCCCCTCCTGCGGCTTATCCGCCACCTGGCAGTCGGAAGAGATAGTTAGATTTGGGTTTAGCTTAGTAGATGAAGGTGGAACTAATATAATTAATGATAAATCTACTGCTCAGCTGAACTTGAGAATTTCTAAGAAGAATTTCTTTACTTTAAGCTGTGTATAAGGACAACAATTATTTAAATTCTATTTCCGGCTTAAATACCCTGGCCTTTCGCTAGATGGCGCCAACAGGCATTAGCTTGATTCAATTTCATTGGGTTATATTACAAATAAGCTCCCTTCCGTATGACAGTTGACATTTATCCTCGATTCGCGTGCAATGAGCACCTTGACAATGCACCCTCACTTAGTTCAACTGCAACTTGGGCATACGCTGCGTATACTTAATGTCCATGCTCATGCCCGTGCCTAAGCATATGCATATGAATAATAAGTATACGAGGCATGTGACAGCGCAGAGTTGACTGAGAGAGAGGGAGAGGGAGAGAGAGAGAGAGAGAGAAATTAATTAAAGCTGGCACTCACCTGTCGCAGTATCGCATAGAAGACATCAAGATGCGAATTGAGATTGATGCCATCGGGCGCCTGCAGGCTCTGGGCCTCGTCGCATTCTTGTTGCTCCACGAACACGTCCAATTGTACGATGATATCGCCGACACCCTGTACGACTTTTCTGCAATGTAGAATAATGGGTTAATCTCTGGCCACTATGCTAATTGGAACAGCAATTGGAATGGGAATGGGAATTGCAATTGCTATTGCGAAATGCATTGCTAATGTGTCGTCTGGTTCATTATTCAAGTGTCAATTAGCAATTCGCCATTCGCAATTTGTTTTGCCTGCGCGCGACAATTGTAGGGGGCATTAATTGATTTGTGATTTATGTGATATTTGTTTTCGATTTATGGCACAAGTGGGCCACAAGTAGTTGCAGCAACAGTCCAAATCTGTGTGACCTGACATTGAGTGTCTGCTCAGTGACATAGCCACAGCAGGTTGCCAAAACACACACACACACACTCGCACACACACACTCACTTGAGATTCTGCACTAGTTGCAAGGCGGCGCCACTGTAACGGGACAGCGAGCAGCAGTACGTGAGCCGTCGCTGCAGCTGCAAGGGCAATGGCAGTGGCAACCCGGACGCCGACTCTGTCTCTGACTCTGACTCTGACTCGGTCTCGGACTCGGCTGGCAGTGATGACTCCACGTTGCCTGCCTTGCAGCAGCCTTGGCAATCACAATCCAACACAGCTCGAGGCGACTCACGGCGAGGCGACTCGTGGCGAGGTGAGTCGAGGCTCGACGAGACGACGTTTATAGCCAGGCGCCGCCAGTTCCGACCATATTCGATAGACTGATAGCTGTTGTTAGGCACTCGTGTCCTTGCTCCTTTTATGGTGTGTCAATTGATATCCATAAACTGAGTGGCACCTTTTTTAATTGCTTTTCAATTGTGTTGCTCGTGACAGCGAGCAGCGAGCAGCGAGGCAAATGGCAAATGGCAAACAGCAAGTGGCAATGTGCGAGGACGAGACAGGACACTGACGGCTGACGGAGCTCAGACCAGACGGAGCCAAAAACTGGACTGCGAGAGCAATTCGCTTTTATTGTTGTCCTTGCCAGCCACGTGCTGCGCGCGCATTGATTTCTCCATAGCCAAAAGAACAAAAACAAAACTGCATGAAGAAAAAGTTGGCTTGGCAACTAGGAGAGCCAGGCCAAAAAGCTGAAAACTCTTCCGTTCTTCTTTTTGTTTTCTTCTTTTTTTCCTCCCTGTTTGGGTCTCTTCTATTTTGACGAGACACTTCGTCAACAACATCGGCTCTGCGTGATGCGCTTTGTGCTTTGTTTTGGCAGCTATTTCTATTTTGGCTCATCGCGGAAGTTTTACCCGGCTGACACGATATGCGGGTGCCAAGTGTCGGTGTGAATAAAACGAAAAGCCAAAAGGAAAAGCGGAAAAACAAAAAAATCGAACTAATGTTAAGGAAGTTAAACGAACTAACACGGCAAATTAAAGACATGAAACGGTGGAGGTAGCTAATATAACATTTCAGTTGAAATTCGTGATTGAGGTATACACAGATAGCATATATAAGTATATATAATGTAAATTCAAATTTACATTTACATTATTTATTCCTTTACTCAATTCTTTTCTACATATTTTCTATTTTATTTCCAAACTTACATCAAATATACTTAAAATTCTTGTTTAATTCTTCACTAATGCCTCTGCTAGAGTTCTTAACTAAAACCTCTTAAATCGATAGACAGATTAGGCCGTCTTTAAAAGCCGCTTTAAAATGTAAATGCTTTGCCGTTTTCTTCTTATGTTCCTCAGCAATTTATTTCCATTTGATGCCTGACTGTCATTTCATATGCTCACAAATTATTGGTATTATAGAAAATCGCTGTTATTCAATATTGATTGAACTTAAGATTGATTAGAACCCATTGGAGGCGACAGCAATTAAAATCCGCTTATAGAAACACAGCAGCTTCCAAGCTACGCAGATCCGAAAACTCAAATGAATATCTATTTATTTATAGCACCTCTCGAAGACGCTGCTAGAGGGGGGCTAGTGGGGGGCAGGGGTCGCTGAAATCAAAGCGCTGCTCGGCTGAATGAAAACGTTTAAAGCGATTTGTAAATTTGAAATAAATTAAAACGCGAAAGAAACTACGCATTTAATAAAAAACTTTTCATAACAATGCCACATCCCAATAGAGGGGCGCTAGCGGGGCGATGGGAAAAGAGGCGTGTCAACTGCCATAAGACAAAACAAATGGGCTTCACTTGGCCTCAGACGCAGAGCCACAAGACAAATGGCACAGAACAATCAATTAGGCATTTTGTCTCTGACGAGAGCTGTAGAAGCTGCCACAGTGGAACCGCAGAGGGGAGGGGGCTGCGATCGGGTGAGCCAGAGGGTTTCCATATTGTTATTGTTCATTTTTGGGCCTGAACTATTTGAAAGAATTAATTGAATTTGTCTAAGCTTTATACGAAGCGGCAAATTATTGTCAACTTGGGCCCAGGCCCCATTTATAAACCAGTTGTGCGGCTCGATAAGGCAGTGGGGGGCGAGGGGGCAGCTAGCAGCTAACTAATTGATTTATTGTTGACTAATTAAATATTGAATTAATTGCTTGACAGACTCAACAAAAACAAAAACCCAAAACAAAAAACAAAAAACCGGCGCAAATTATTTGCATAAGACCCAAACACACAAGCAAAAAAAAAAAAAAAAGAAAAAACTGAAAGAAGAAGAGTTTTCGGATTGTTGTCGATTTTGATGGATGTTTGACAAGCGTCCAAATCGGCGCAACTTGGCCATCACACTTAAACGGCCGCTAATAATGGCCCAGCCGGGAGATGCCCAAGCGAAGCTCCACTTCGCATACCCATGTGAATTTCATTTATTTCTCTTTTTTTGCGACTAGACCTTGATCTTGCCTAGTTGAGAGCTGCATGCAAATTAAAATGCTTATTCCATTCGATTGCCGAAATACGAGTGTATTCACATCGTATTCACATTGGATTCGCATCAAAATCAAGCAAGACATTTTAAATTGTTTGTGATATTCATTTGGACTATGTTGTTGAGGTTGTTGTTGCTGTTGCTGTTGTTGTTGTTGTAGTGGGTGTGTTTCAGGGTTTCAGTTAACAAACATTGCATAAATTGTCTAGATTCAGCACACACACACATAGGCATAGTGTGGGTGCCTGGCCATGTCTTTGACTAACATTTGCCATCCGCTAGAGCTATGTTAAGTGGTCATTAAACCTAAAAACTCACCTTAGATTGTTGAGCAGCGGCAATAATTTGAGGCCTGCAATGAAAACAACATGGGAATAATAAGTAGTATTCAGTGAATCAAGCTGATATACAATTATATATCAGCAAAAAGGTATTTAGTGCTGAAATGAATGAAAATTGCATAGAAAGAGAGAGAGAATGATAGGCATTTAGCAAGAGCGAATGAAACAGAAGAGGAAGTCGAGAAACACTTATATCTATTGCATAGAACGGGGTCAAATTACTCTTTGATATTTTGATAGGCTATCAGAGTTGCAGGCAGGGCATTTATTCATATACAAGTTGAATATTTATTTTGATATAGTAAACTATTCTTCCATGTCAAACACCCACTCGATCAATGTCATTCAAATATTTTGTACTTATTATGATATATAGAAATTTGTTCCTTGTTTTACAGATTTTTTTAATAGTGTCAATAGCTGTCGGCCTGAAGGATTTAAATGATGTTGGACGTGTTAAACGACTAGCCACGCCCACTTACACAGCTCAGTCCGTTAGGAGTACCGGCAAGTATGTGGTGTCCATCAGATCGCGCACTCCATACAAATACTTTGGGGATAACCATTACTGTGGTGGCTGCATCATATCGCCCATATTTATTCTAACTGCCGCGAAATGCGTGATGAGGTGGATAATCCAGTTATCTATGTATATAAGTACGTACTCATCCAAATATTTGCTTTCGTTGAAGCACTCATAAGGTGTTGCGTCGAAGTCGCGTGATGCTGATCGTTGCTGGAGCACCCAATCGGCTAAAGATTTTCGCGGAGAGCCGGCATGTCCCGGTGAAGACGATATATGTGCCCCAGAACTACACCATATTCAATACCAATAACATAGCACTGCTGAAGACCGGCTTGAGGCTACCCACAAATAATTTTCGCATTGGGATAATAGGGCTGCCCCTCGGGCCGGCTGTGGAAGGTCTCTACTACAGATCCATGGGCTGGGGACGCGTCCTGAAGGTAGATCACCAAATAATATCCCAATCGAATGGGATCTCAGCTGATTCCATCTCATTTTATCTATCACTTGTTTGCAGGGCGGCGCTATGGCCTCTAGCATCCTCTTTATCGATGTGATGCTGCAGGATTTCGCCACATGCAAGCGACTGATTGGCCCATTCACACCGGACATGCTATGCGTTGGCAATCTGCACGTTCGCAATCTGGACGAGCATCCCTGTTTGGGTGATGCGGGCGATCCGCTCATGCTGAACGACACGGTATATGGCGTAGCTACCTATGGCCTAGGCTGCGGTAATGATAAATATCCCTCCGTGTATACGAATGTCTGGTATCACATGGATTGGATCAGGGCGATTATGTCACGTGGCAGTAGTCAAAAAATCCAATATCATCTGATCCGTGTTTGGCTCTTACTTTTGCTTTATATGTGCGGGTAATTGTTTAGAACCTATTACATATACTCGTATATTTGATTTTTAGTTTCTTAACATAATTTTTCATTTGTGAGAATTGCAGTTATAAATATGCATATCAAAATATTAATTTAATGTTGAAATTAAGTGAAATATGTATTTTCAGCAGAGATCTATATATCGAATTGAGCCAAGACAGCTAAACTCTGCTATTAATGATGCTAATTCAATATATATATACATAAGTATATGAGCTTTATCTCGCGTACGCCTCCTTCCGCCTGTTGCATGCCCTTGCAGCAAAAACAATTAGAATTTGCATGAACAACTTGGCATTTGCTGATTGAACTTTGCTAATTGAATTTGTCAGCAAGACAGTTCTTAGCCCGTGCCCAACTCCCAATGCTGACTGGTCACTGGGGGTATTGGGGACCTGATCTAGCCGCCCAGTGTGCAGCAAGAGTCGCTTCCGGTCAAGCTTGTTTTTTGTGCGCTGTTTGTTTGTTTCACTTTGTTCGCCTCCTGCTTTTATTTGCGCACAGACGTTATTTTGTTGTATTTGATATGTGGCTGCTTGTAAATAAATATAATAAAAAATTAATTACAAAAATGCTCGTGAAAGTCGCCTCGTTGTAGCTTCTGTGTATCGCTGCTGTTCCACCCAATCCCCTGGTTGGTCTGCCCACCCAATGTTCGCCTTATTTGGCGCCTTGACGTTCATAATTTTATTTTACGACTTTGTTTCGTTGTCGTTTTATTTATTTGAAATTGAAAACCATAAAAGGCACACAATTAAAATGTGAGTGCCTGTGTTTCTGTTTTCTGTTTTCTGTGTAGATGTGTTGAAAAGTTTCTTTGTCCGGCCATTGTTAAAGCATTTGGAAAGTCTTGGAGGTCTCTTGAGATCTAGAGAACCGATCTAAGCGAATTCAGCTGCCATTGCTTATATGCCCTACAGCCAAGGAATTCGCCAAACACGCCCAAATAACCAAACGTAATTGTTTAATAACATGCCATGCAACAAGAAATCAAGTCAAAACTTTAAGACTAACCGAAATAAATGTTGCAGTTGGATGTTAAGAGCTGCGTAATACTTGCTCAAAGAGTTTTCTAAATATATTAATTCATTGAATTTTTCAAATAGAAAGATTGAGGCGGATAGAAGATCTCTAATAATTCAAATTAGAATAGCTATATCGATATGTATTGCAGCTCTAGTGGTACTTCATCTTCTCAACTGATATTCATATTATTTTATTTTATATATTTCTTTAATTAGTATATAAATAATTTTTATTTAATATAATAATCGAATCACAGTTCTGAATGCGGGAGTTTTATATTTAAAAACGTATTGTGATTGAGAGACGAATAAATCTTAAACCGTTCTGTTCCCAGAACTAATATACTCTTGTGACTTTACACACGAGTGCAAATAATAAAGCAGAAATTGAAATTAAAATCAATTCGATTTGAATATTTGTGTTTGTTTTGTGCTCAAATATATATGTATATGTATATTTATATATATTGTTATAAGCTGTTGATGTTTTATAAATCAATTGAAATTGAAATTCGCCAGCCAGCTAAATGAGAAAATTGTTAAATAAATAAATTTATGGCGCGTTCACAGCCGCAACAACTTCGAACTATGAAAAACTTTGCGTGCCAAAGTGGAAAATCATGGGGCATAAATCAGTAAATGCCGCACAGCCGGCAGCGATGAACTTGACAGATGACATACAGCAGATATGCTGGCCATACTCTGACCGGGTCTTGCACGGATTCCGCCTTTAAATAGATCTCAAGAACTCTAGTTTTCAACAGAGAGAGAGAGAGATAGCGAGATATAGAAAGAGAGAGAAAGAGAGATCTACTGAGCCGATAATTGGACACTTAAATGGCATTAGCAGAACTCGCAAGATCTTTGAATCGCATACTTGTATATATGCAAATATTTGCATGGAAACTCTAAGATTCTTACGTGGCGGCGGTGTGGGAGGGCATATGGGCGTGGAGCATGGAGGCCAATGGCCTTGAAACTGAATACATCGGCTCATTGCCAAACAAAATGCGGCCGTTGCTTGTCAAATGTGTCGCTGAGGAATGTACATGTCGATATGGCAACTGCATGTGTGAAGTGTCCTACCACAAAAGCCCCTCCCTGCACATACAGAGAGATGGAGAGAGGGAGGGAGAGAGGGAGCGAGGGAGAGAGGGCGAGAGATAGCGGAGCAGTTGAAGTGCGTGACTTACATTTTGCTGTTGAGATTTCGTTTTTGTCGCAGTCGCTTTATTATTATATTCTTGTAATGCTGAAAAAGCGCAGCTCAATTTATTTTAATTAAGAACAATAAAAAGCCCCTCGCTCCTTCTCCCCCTCCCACCCGTTCACGCTGCCCACCGTCTGCCCATTCGGAGTCGCTGGCAAGTGCAGCGCTCATCATTCAACGAGTGCTCCCCACATTTGGCGCTGCGCCTGCGCACTCACGCACAACTGCGCTCAATCAAAGTCATAAGAAGCGGGCCTTCGGAGCACACTGAGATGGGGCTGGAGCTGCAACTGAAGCTGGGAGTTTGCTTTAACGGCGCGGGCACAGTTCATGAACTTTGCTCAGGCCGGCGAGCATCGTCGCGAGGGGCGGTTCGAGATGTCGGGCTGACAGGATGTGAACGCGTCCCTTGTCTGTCAACAACTGGCACAGAGGCGACTTATTACATTTTAACTACGTATCTATGTTGTTGGCATAGCACAGCAGCTCTCTTCAGTGCTACTCGGACAGAGTGGAATTAAATAACAATTTGTTGTCGTCATGCAGTGCAGACCCTTGATCCGAAATATATGCACACATGCATAGCAACATGTTGGAAATATCATTTTTATTTTTATGTGACATAGTCGTAGAATATTTCACATATTTCTGTTTAATATTCAGTCATAAAAACTGGAATTTTCGGGGGTGCCGCAGAGCCAAAGCTGCTGACTTGCTTGTAATGAAGATATTTCGATTTACAACGAATTTCCTTAGCATAACCCAAGTCACGCTTGTCACGTTTTCCAATTAGTTGGATTCTAGTCTATGCCCTTTTTATGAGTGAATTCTCATTGGCGAAGAAAGCTGAGTCGGTCAACAACTTTGGAGACGCACCTCTAATCGCCGGCACGTGCTAAGGTTACTCAATTGGATTGCGTCAAGCGACAAAGGCGATTTGACGATTGGACGATATGCGGCATGGCAAACCCGCTGCCGAAACTATCATTATCCACGACCCCCAGAGCCAACAACCGCTCGAACCTAGAGCCCCGAGGGTCGCTGGCGTGGCTGTGACATGCAGTTAACCAACTCCGTTTGGGCATTTGCCAAGTGTGGTATAAGGTATATGGCATATGGCATATGGTCAAGGGCAGTGCCGATCAGCGGCGCCGTCAGCGGATCAGCGGGCACATCAATCAAATCAATGAAATCGAAGACAGCTAACAAAGCACAAGAGGGCAAAACAGTTGACTCACAAACAATACAACAAAATACAACAAAAACAATAACAATGCAGAGAAGGGGCACCTGGAGGAGGTCGTCTGATGACTTTTTGTGGTTGGCCTAATGTGTTTATCATGATGGCCTTTTGGTTATCAGCATTAGCGGCCAGTAAAATAAAAACAAAAGCCGAAGAAAGCACTGAATAAAGAAAGAGTTCTAAAGAGAGTTCTAAATCTATCCATTAAAGCAGTATCTACTTAAAATGTACCTACAAGAGAACTGTCTATATGAGAGAGTTGCATCTATAGAATTTTTTTTTTTTTTTTAAAGCAGCATGCAAATGAATCGTATCTATATAGTCTATAACAACTTACCTATAAACTCGTTGCGTATGCGAATGCGATCCTGCAGCCTTGGCTCCGAGATGATGACGCAGTTGATGAAGGCCAGCAGAGTAGCTAGATAGTCCAGAGGCGGTGTTGCAGCTGCAGTTGACTGTTCCAGCTCGTTGATGACGATTTTGAAGCGATATCGTTCCTTTTTGAGATTCTAGACAAACATCGAATGGCGGTGAATAATATGAAAAGGTCTTCGCTATGTTGCTGCTTCAGCCAGCGTATTTACCTTGTAAAACTCGAGAGTTTCGATGGCACGGGCATAGCCGTCGGGGCTGTAGGCGCAGAGCGCGGACAGCAGCTCGAAGACCTGCTTCTTGACCGTCGCATTCTGCGTGTCTAGGGCAGAGCCCAACTTGGCAATGTAGTCACGATTTTCGACTATGTAATCCAGGCCGATGCGTGAGTCCATTTTGTTTGTGGTTTATCTGGCTATATAATCGGTGGGCTACTTGGGGGAGTTTTGGGCGGGGCGTTGCTCGCCGTTTGTCACGCCGTTTCGGACGCAATTCGATCGATTGATTTGTGCGGCTAGTTACAAAGGTTCTCGGTTCTTGGACTTGGACTGGGTCTGAAGCCGCATTGAATACCTAAACAGTTTCCGTCATGCCGAACGCCTCTCGTGCGCTGAATCTGAAAATATAGACGGGAAAAAAGCGTTGCCCATGAAAAATCAATTTCTGATTGCATTAGACACATTGAGTAAGGGGCCTGCACCCCACGATGGGGTAATCAATTGTGGGTCGAAAACCCTCTGCCGGCCCGCGACCCTCCCGGCTCCACATTTCCCGTCTGCTTTAAATGCCGCCAGTGTTGCGCTCTTAATTAATTTACGATCTTGACTTCTGGGCCGTACACCCTCCGGGCGCATAAAGTCCATAAATTCATTTTGGTTAATGCACCGCCAGAGGGCGCTGCCAATTGTTTTGATTTCCCCCCAGCCCCGATATTGACCGCCAAAAAAGTAAGCGCAAAAGGCAAAAGCCAAGATCAAAGCGGGGCACCCGTCACTCGGCCACTGGGGCTCTCGTTCTCAATCTAAGCCTGGGTTCCGCCTTCAAGATCGGCATCTCAATTACGGCAAATGATCTTGTTAATTTGTTTACACTTAAAGCATGCGACGCCTTCGATTAGTTGCCAAATGATATAGTCGAAAA